TTTCGAGGCTGGGTTTTGCATGTTCTTGAAGAGCAACTATCTCTTGTTGATAGCAGTCCTCGAAAACTCGGAGATCTTCGGGTTCATGGACTCCTGGAGTCGCAGGGAATTCAGGAGCCCGCACGGCAGGATCTAGGATCCATGTTTGGCCTTTGGGCATGTGCAACCGCTGGCAAAAACCATTTAATGGACATCTTGAATAAGGGCGTCTGACCATGTATTTCGTGAAGGATATCTTGCAACATCGGGCATGCGGTCTGTAACATTCTTTTTTTTCTCGCAGGATTGGGGGCCTTCACTTGAAATCTGCTGCTGTCAGCTTGAAAGTTGTACTTTGACTGAAGCTGTGCTGCGATGTGCTGTGTAGAGTTACCCTGCTAGGCGGAAACTCATAATATAATACATGGTAAAACACCACAGAATATAGTATAGACTATTGTACTATAATATCCTACAATTCACCATAATACATTAACCCAACCAATCAGCTCACGGCCACCACATGAGGCGTTTCGCGGCCGAGGCTCCATGATGATGCCAGCGGACATGGAGTATTTCACCTGGCAATGCATAGCGACCACTTTCCTCCACTACCCGCCCCCCCTTTCAATAAACAGGTGTGTAGAACTCAGCTCAAGCAGAATTATAAACTTTAGGGGCAGTTCTCAGCAGCAACGATGGGAGGCCAGTCATGTGGCAGCTAAGATGTTGCAAAACACTTCCCTCACCAACCCCCCCAAAAGGTATTCGCCTTGCTATGCGGGCCTTGTTTCAAGCGGGGCGTGTGCGCGCAGTGCCGCCCTATCTGGCTGGCGAGATGAGTAGACCCCTGTCTCCCCGCAAAATCAGCGTCCTCTGTGGAAGCTGTACTCTCACCCCGGAAGACGCTTTGAGGGAACTCGGGGAGCATGCAACTGAGGACGGGAAACAGGAAAGTGCAGAGAAGCATTCCCAGCTGAAGGAATCATCAAGCACTACCTCTCCTAAGGGCTGCTAGGATTGCTGTGGCGACCCGCATGACAGCGTCAGCCACGGCCGGTAATGCATCTCATGCCCATGACCCGAGATCCGGCGAAACTAATGTTAAGATTATTTAAGATTCATTAGTGGAGCGAGCTCCGTGCTCCTGGTCTTGCAAATCTAAGCAAGAGACATCACGTTTGGATGCTCGCCATGCTTGCCATACTCACTGAGGAGTGCGAGGGCGGAAGGCTTCCAAGCGTGCTTTCCTTTTGAAGCGATGCTTGTTGAAAAATTTGCAGGACTTCTTCGAAGCCGTTTCGTCTTGCCAAGTCCTCTGGAGTAAGACCGCGTCGGGTCTTCACATTGAGGCGCGCTCCAAGCAGCAGCAGTGCCTTGACGACCGTGGGCTTGTTCTGAGAGACGGCCACGTGCAATGGATAACCTTAGACTCAGACCCCACGGCAGGCCCTACTGTAGTGAAGCTTATGCGGACATTACGAACATGCTGCGCAAA